TTGTTGTGGGAAAATATGATTAAGTTAAGACAAATTGATACAAGCTGCTGTGTGAAGTATGGGTGACAGTGATGTATCCGTTGAAGAGATATTTGAGGATAAGTTGCGCCATTAATTTTTGACCACACTATAGGAGGAATCTCAGCAGATGACGAGAACGAATGATATCTCTTGTCTGTGAGCGAAGTAAGATAGAGCAGATATAAGAACAAATACGGAAAAATAATTATGTCGCTATTTAGTAGACGTCACATGTCACGTAATCCAAATAAGATAAGATAAGATAAGATAAGATAAGATAAGATAAGATAAGATAAGATAAGATAAGATAAGGTGGAATAAGATACGTCTTTATTATCCAGATCTTGGCACATTGGTTTGGTGTTTCACCACGTACACACACACACACACACACACACACACACACACACACACACACACACACACGCGCGCGCGCGCGCGCGCACACACACATACACACACACATACATACGCACTCGTGTACGCACAAACATGCGCACACCCATATACACACAGTTTAGGGTTTAACCCCGACTAAAAAAAACCCACCCCAAAAAAACCCTCCAACAAACCCAACCAAATAACCCAAACGAACACAAGAAATAAAAACAAAACAAAAACAACAGCACAAAAAAAGAACAAAAGTGAAAAAAGGAAATCCTCCCCCCCCCCCTTTTTAAGAAACCCCCACCCCAAATAAACCGGAAAGTCAACAGACACCCACGTTTATAACTTGTGGTTTCATTTGACTCTCGTGAAATGCGCTTTTATCCCCGTCCTTGTTTGTGAACTTCACTGTTGGCGCTGATTGTTTCAAGTGGGTGGTCCGCAAGACCTCTAGTGTAATAATATAGACTTTCTTTTCTATCCAACATCTATGATCCTTATCTTTCTTTTCTATCAAACGTCTATGGTCCTTATCTTTCTTTTCTATCAGACGTCTATGGTCCTTATCTTTCTTTCCTATCAAACATCTATGGTCCATAGTCCTTCTCTCTCTTTCCTATCAAACGTCTATGGTCCTTATCTCTCTTTCCTATCAAACGTCTATGGTCCTTATCTCTCTTTCCTATCAAACGTCTATGGTCCTTATCTCTCTTCCTTCTTTTCTTTGCATGTTACTCTCTAGTAACACCTCTAATCTACGGCACACATATAGCGTAACTGTGTTGTAAGTGTTGTTGAACTCGTATAAAAAAAAGTAGAGATTACTGAACGCAAGGCAATTTCGTATATCGCCAAACTCCGACTTTCTCCAGAATAGAAATATTCAGAACTTACAATCGAACCAGCTCTGACGGCCACTTGTGTAAGACAACCACCTATATAAGACAACCACCTGTATAAGACAACCACTTGTGCAGCCACCCATTGTCACTGAGAAAAGTGGTTGTCTTATACAGGTGGATGTGGCTGTCTCAGACCGTAATAATATGATGCACCTTCAGCCATGTTGACTCTGCCATCGACCTCAGTACCTTTTGTTTGAAACGCTCAGGGCTCACATGATGGGGTAACATCTACCCCCAAATTGCACCCCTACTACCATTCCTCGCCCAGCGGTATGGCCATGGCGTTAGGTTTAGAGCCGACGGAACCAAACTTGCTAGTTTTGTTTGAAACCAGGCCTGAGCGGGGTAAGCATTTTCCGTCTTAGACAGGTGAAATCCTCGTCCTCGGAAGGGAGCGGATTTTTCTTTCTGTTTCCGTGTTGGACAGGTTTCCGTTTTATACAGGTAATTAAAGAGGAATATATCAAGGGGGGAGCGGGGATATTCCGTTAAGACAGGTTTCCGTTTTAGACAGGTTTCCGTTAAGGCAGGTTCGACTGTACGTGTAACAGTTTCCTGTTCAGCCTCTGCCCCCTGATGACATCTGCGTGACGTCATTTAGATTTGTGGAAGACTTTTACACAGCCTCCGTCTGGTGGCTTTTGCATTAATTTATTATTTTTTGGCGGTTTTTATTGTTGGTTACAAATAAGCGTAACTTGAAGATGAGGTTAAGAGAAAAAAAAACTTTCTGTATGCGTCAAATGAATTTCGTCTGTGTCATTGTGTCTGTGTCAAATGGATTTTGTTTGTGTCAAAAGGTGTGAAGTGGCATGCGTCAGGAATGGTTTCAGCAGACGAAAATACGAAACGTGTCTTCCGGGTCCAAGTTTTTAAGGTCCAAAGGTCTAGCTAGCGTGCACAGTACACAGGGTTGGTTTCATAATGCAACATTAATTTTTCTCACGGGGACAGTTTTTTAAACTCTTCGGTATACGCTTTCTGAGTATTCCACACCGTTTGAAGATGCGCAGTTTTGAGGCTTAACTTCATTATAAATTCCAACAATTCAGGAATAACATTCTCTTTGCCTTACCTGAAACTTGAAAAGGCATGCAACAGCATGCACGTGATGGATGGAATGTACAAACGCGTGTTTCTCATTTGTGTATAGTGGTTGGGAATATGACGAAACAATTGTCTCTGATCTGTTGCTGGTCGGACCTATGTGTATCCTTTGAGCGTTACAGTTGATTAACTAGCATTCTGCGGTATAGAAGTTATAACCAGTGCCCATACGTTCTTAATTTCTGAGCGTGGGTGGTTGGCGGGTGCTCTGGTGTGGTTTGCTTATTCTTTCCTATCAAACATCTATCGTCCTTATCTCCACTTCTTCTTTTTATGTTTGTTACTCTCTTGTAACACCTCTAATCTTCTGGCGCTCATATGCAGTTGCGAGCGCCGTAAAACCTCTACTAAAAAAACAACCTCTGAGTGTCTAACCCGGTGCCCATTGGCAAGATCGGATCGGATCGGATCGGTTCGGTTTTGTCGTCGGAACTAGCCAGATTTTCAAGAACGAGAACAAGAAAACAAGAATGACTTCAGTCAAGTGATCTCACTTGCAGCATAAATTGCGCATCAAAAGAGTGGGGTTATTTTGCGTGTGATAGTCTGTGAAAAAGCATTAAAAGGGGAGGCCTAGGGATTTTGGCACAGAAGGAGAATCATTCTTGCAAAGCGACATTGGAAGTTCACGTGTATTCAAAGTCCTGGGTTGTAAAGATAGGCCGGTCTTTCCTAGTGAATGATCCTGCGCTTTCAAAGCCTGTGAGATTATTTAATTTTCTACGCTGTTATGAAAAACTGAAAAAGATCTTGAAGAGATAGATTCTGTGTTGTATGACTCACGCAGGAGAAAGATTGAAATGGTGGCAGCGTTTGGTACCTTTATTATGAAGAGGGGAAAGAACTGTTGAAATAGCTCAAAGTAGGGTCGTTGAAAGCGCACTATCACACACAGCACATTGGTATATCTCCCTGTCTCTCTCTCTCTGTCTGTCTCTACGTCTCTGTCTCTCTCTCTCTCTGTCTGTCTCTGTCTCTCTGTCTGTCTCTCTCTCTCTCCTCCCCCTCTCTCTCTGTCTTTCTCACTCTCCAGCTCTCTCCCTCCTCCTCCTCCTCTCTCTCTCTTTCTTTCTATCCCCCCAACCTCTTTTCTCTCAAGCACTAAAGTCTTAGAACAAAGACACGAACACACACACACACACACACACACACACACACACACACACACACACACACACACACACACACACACTCTCTCTCTCTCCATGCGCGCGTAAATCTACCAGTATAGCGAGAGAGAGAGAGAGAGAGAGAGAGAGAGAGAGAGAGAGAGAGAGAGAGAGGGAGAGAGAGAGGGAGAGAGAAGAGAGAAAGTCGGAGAGATATGTAAAGAGACAGGGACTGTTACGTAGAGTGGGACGGAGACAAACTCTCTACACAAACTCATAACCTCAACCACACAACTCTCTCTGAAACAACCTTGCGTATCCGGCGCAAACAGGAATTATTTGAGGCGTGGCTCCGTTCCACTTGTGTCTTGCTTAACCCTAACCCCCGGGGTTGTATTCTTCACATTTTAGAATACTTCTAGTACGAAGATCTATTTGAAACTATCAGTATTTCTCAAAAATCAATTAGACAGACTGCTATGCAAAGCATACGGATCGGATTAACAAACGCGTTTGTTTTCAAGGCCGCGAGTCGGGCGATCGGTTTGTGTAATATGGGGTCTAACATGTAGCGGTTCGGTTCGGATTGCTCGCCAGACTGAGGGGGCAAAGCGGCTCTCGTGGCACAAACCGATCGCCCGACTCGTCGCTTTATTCGTGGTGCCCATTGCGGATGGGGTCGGGTCGGGCCGGGTCGGGTCAGGTCGAGTGGGGTCGGGTCGGGGGTGATGTAGCTTCTTCTTTCCTATCAAACATTTCTATCGGTCCTTATCTCTCCTCCTTTTTTTGTGTATGTTACTCTCTTGTAACACATTTATTCTTAATAGTGATAATAAATAGCATTTATACTGCGCATTTCCATTTTCTAAAAAAAATTGCTCAATGCGCATTACATTGAAAAAGACAACATCTAAAAAATTAATCGACACGCGCGTACGTAAAACGTAATATTCTTCGGCACTTATATGACCTTATTAAATATTCTGTTGCAAGTGCGTAAAACTCATACTAAAACAAAACTAAAAAATCAAAGTGTTGTTTCTGCTATTCCTCCTCCGCTTTATCAGCGTTACTTCTCTTTTTCTTATTGAAAGTTAATGAGAAAAATATATAATTTAATTTTTTAAAAATATACCTGCGTGTGTTTTTACGGTCCTGTACAGCAAAGAAAAATTTCCCTTTGGGATAATAAAGTATTATCTTATCTTATTTTTATCTTATCTTATCTTATCTTATCTTATCTTATCTTATCTTATCTTATCTTATCTTATCTTATCTTATCTTATCGTATCGTATCTTATCTTATCGTATCGTATTGTATCATATCTTATCGTATCGTATCTTATCTTATCTTATCTTATCGTATCGTATCGTATTGTATCGTATCTTATCGTATCGTATCGTATCTTATCTTATTTTATCGTATCGTATCGTATCTTATCGTATCTTATTGTATCTCATCTTCTCCCAGGACTACCCTCCGGCCTACGACAACAATGCCCCCAGACATGACGTCAGCGATGGAGCAGACCACAAGGGGTCAGAGCGAGGGGTCAGGGTGGCCACGGAGGACGAGGTACCGGACAGGGGTCAGTGGGGCAACAAGATGGAGTTCATTCTCTCCTGTGTCGGCCTCTCGGTCGGTCTGGGGAATGTCTGGAGATTCCCTTTTCTCGCCTACAAAAATGGCGGAGGTGAGTGATATAACGGGTGACCTATTTGTCGATCACAAGAATGGTGGAGGTGAGTGAGTTAACGGGTGACCCATTTCTTGCCTACAAGAATGGTGGAGGTGAGTGATTTAACGGGCGGCTGGAAGGTTTGCGTTTCTTGGAGTGAAGGTTTTGTGGATTTGATGTTGTCCCTTCTGTTGATTCGTTCTGTTTGTATGTTTGTCTGTCTGTTTGTCTGTCTGTCTGTCTGTCTGTCTGTCTGTCTGTCTGTCTGTCTGTCTGTCTGTCTGTCTGCCTGCCTGCCTGCCTGCCTGCCTGCCTGCCTGTCTGCCTGCCTGCCTGTCTGTCTGTCTGTCTGTCTGTCTGTCTTCTTGTTCTTCTTCTTGTTCTTGTTCTTGTTCTTGTTCTTGTTCATCTTCTTTTGTAATTAAATTCCTGCATGTGGTTAAATGATGCATCTGATGCGATCCGTACATTTTGTCAGCTTCACTTTTCTTTTCATTTTGAATTTTAATGAAAGTAATAATATATTAATTAAAATTTTTATGTATACCTGCATGTGTTTTACGGTCCTGTACAGCCAAGAAAAATTTCCCTCTGGGATAATAAAGTATTTGAATACCAAGGCCCCAAGATCTGGAATGTTTTACCAAGTACTTTAAAGAGAGTTCCACTCTTTTGATTTATTCAAGTATCAGCTGAAGTCGTTTCTGTTTATAAATTAATAAGATGAATATTTTGAGCGATTTTCTTTTAGTCAGAACACAAGGTTTTATGTTACTGTTGTACGTTGTACTGTATTGTACAGCGCTCAGAGCCTGTGTACTTTAATCTGGATTGAGCGCTATATAAGTGTCATTTATTAATATTATTTATTATTATTATCTTATGGTATCTGATCTCATCTTAATGTATCGTATCTTATTTCATCTGCAGCTGCCTTCCTGATCGCCTACCTCATTCTGCAGTTGCTAATTGGCAAACCTATGTACTTCATGGAGCTGGTCATGGGCCAGTTTTCGGCCAAAGGTCCGACCAAAGTGTGGGAGATGAACCCTTCGGCTAAAGGTAACGTGTGAACTGTTGGGACAGGACACTTGAACGTGGTGGCATCATCATCATCATCATCATAATCATCATCATCATCATCATCATCATCATCATCATCATTGTAAATAACAAGGAATAAAAAAGGGTTGAGACTTATAGAATTTTCAAATTTTATACAGGTTCAACGTTTCGCCCGATAAAGGGCTTCATTATCATTACAGAGTAGGGAAGGGGAGTCCTGAGTAGCTTTTAGCTAGTTATCATCATCATCATCATCATCATCATCATCATCATCATCATCATCATCATCAACAAAAAAAACAAACAAACAACAAAAACCCATAGTAGTCTTGATAAGAAAGTAACTGTAATTCCACCTGTAGAATCTATCCCCTCTCTTTTCCAAACTCAACCTCCCTCCCACTCCCCCC